AAAGGGCCGAGCACAGGACAGGAGCGCCTTCCAAGGGATCCTGGCACCTCTGGCTGGACTTACACACTGCTGAGCGTCTGGGCGCCCGCCTGCCCTGCCTGGGAGCCACCACAACCACGGGCTAGGCTCTGTGGTGACGCCTGTTGTTAGGGCCCGTGTTCCTCAGCTGGAGCCAACAGGTCCTCGGAGCAGGCGGCCCAGGCGAGGGCCAGCAGGGCCCGACGAGCCGGTCTTCATTCCCCCCAGCTCCAGCTGGGCAACAGCTGTTTCCTTCCCCTTGCATACAGGTGTCTGCAATGGTGACAAACCTCACGCCACAGGCTGCGGGCCACACATGACCCCTCCAACGTGCAACAGAAAGGGAAACCAGCTGTGACCTAAAGCAGAGCCGGCATGTTCTGCAGGCAGGGCCCCCCAGCCCTCACTCGGCAGATGCGGTCTGGGGGGTACTGCTCCCAAGGGGGACAATCAGAGCAAAACACAGGGGGCTAAGCGCCCCCCACCCAGCCCAGCCAGGGCCTCTCCACGAGGCTGCAGCCAGGAGCCAAGGAGAGGAGCAAGGTAACCAGGTTTCGTAAGCTCCACGGGGCTGCAGGGGTGCGAGAGGCTGGACGCTCAGGTCGGGCCTTCAGAATGAGCATGGGATGGTCACCAGATCCCCGGCTGGGAGCCCCAGCTTGCCCTGCAACTCAGAGCAGTGCCCTGACCTCAGTTCCCTGCTCCCTCTTCTGTCGGTATGTAGCTACCCGAGGTCCCTCCGAGAGGCCACACCCCAATGGGCATAGAGAACCGTGCAGACCCTCACACGTGCCAGCTGGTGACATGGGGGCACGGGCGGTTGACACAGGTTGGCTTTGTAAGGATCACCTTTGGTGCAGTAACTCCACCCATGGGGAGTTACCATAAAGAAATAATTTTAATTCGAGGAAATAATCTTTATGTATGTGGATATTAATCACAGTGTAATTTATGATTGTAGAAAAAAACAGAAAGTGTCAGATAGCTGAGAACAGGGATATGATAATGCAAACTAAGTTTCATCCATGCAGCGGAGCCATTCAAACTTTTCTCAAAGACTATGATACACAGATAATAGTGATGAGTAATGTAATTGCAAATGTCAGGGTACAGCTTGACTCGTACCATGTCTTTCATTTTTGGCGTTTAAATGTTCAATTTCACATTTTGATATGTATAAAAAGACAGAATGTTTGAAATATATGCATAACTTTGCCTGCGTTTTTAAAAAGCTACATGCCGGGGCACTTGGGTGGCTCAGTCGGTTAAGCGTCCGACTTCGGTTCAGGTCTTGACCTCACAAGTTCGTGAGTTCAAGTCCCACGTCAGGATCTGTGCTGACAGCTTGGAGCCTGGAGCCTGTTTTGGGCTCTGCATCTCCCACTCGCTCTCTCTCTCTCTGCCCCTACCCCGCTCATGCTGTGTCTCTTTCTCTCTCAAAAATAAACATTAAAAAAAATTTATAAAAAGCTACGTGCTGGGAAAATATTAGAAGAGTCTGGATAGTAGTAAAAAAATAACTTTTTTCTATTTTCATGTAGTTTTCAGGTTTTCTTCTATGAATGTTACTTTGAAACTAGAAAAAGAAGTAAACATATTTTAAATGTAGCTCGGGTTCGAAAGGGTGACCCCTATGCTCCAGGAAGGGGAGGGCGAGGAGATGCTTCAACACAGAGAAATAAGCTGCATGTCTGGGGCAAGCACAGGCAGGAGCTCTGGAGACAGAAGTCAGGGAAACGCAAGCTTTTCTGACCCGCCTTTCTGGGTGGGCCCAGGGCTCGTGACCCACCCCGCTCCCCTCTCATTTTCCCAGAGGAAAAAGGACTCTGTGAAAGAAACAAAATAATCAAAGTAGCAAAAATGCACTAATGCTACAAGAACAAAATCATCCACAAAGCACAAAACAACAGTAATTTCTAGGATTTTTAAAAAAGAGATGACTATCAAAAAGGCAGCAGTACGGGGCCATGACAACATGACAGCACTGACGGTGCTGGAAAACAAAGCATCCTTTCCAAAACTCGCAGGACGTGCCGAAGGAGCTGGCGGCCGGGAGCTCCCGCCACGTGCTGTGCGGCCGCCGGACGGCTGGGTAGAGACGCCCGGACTCCGCAGGGACCCCCAAGACTGCTCGTTTCGTTTTATGACCATCAGATTTTAGTAACTCCTAGTAACTCCCTTCTTAGGAAGTGGACTCTGGGCAGATGTAAAAGCGAATCTCCGGTAACACTCTACCATCCACCTAAAGGAAGGACTCCCTGTGTGGCCACATCAGCTCCTTCCCCACCTGACACGGGCCCCTCAGAGGCGTGATCCCACTTGGACTCGGCCGGAAACTGAAATCTGATGTATCGCAGGGACAGCGAAGCCCTGGCCACAGCCTTGTCCCTGCAGACATCGTCCCCCGGGGCAAAGCCAGGCTTTAGGGCAGGGCCAAGTCAGAGAGCCGGGAGCTGCCTAACTCTCCTCATCTGCCTAGTCCGGTCTAGCGCTGTGAGGCACAACTAGCATTGCTCTGACCATCCCCAAGGAGCTCTATGTCCCCTACTTCGGGGTGGCCCACAGCATGACCTGGCCTGGAGTTTAGCACATGCTAGGCGGTGGCCGGCTAGCTGATGGGGGAGTGGGGGACGGGAGAGAGGGCAGAGTTGGGCACGCCTCCTCCCGGATCTCCTGCTGCCCCTCGTCGCTTCTTCCCTCACGGCATTTCGCTAAGCCAATCACACAGGCAGGACCACAGGGCTGGCCAAGCCCTAAAGGCCCATCTAGTCAAGACATTTCAAATTAGTTTAATCATGGTATCCTTTGACCAAGCAGAATCCTGCTCCAAAGCTTCTTCTATGCACCAATCAGGACGGACTGCTAGGAGGGGGCGGGGATAGGAGAAAGTCAGGCTAGGGGAGAACCGCAGAAACCCACAGGGGGATTCCTGTGAGCCTGGACTCTTCTCAGCGCAAGCCGAAACAGCTCACTAGACCAGCCCCCTCATTTTGTAGGTGGGGACACTGAGGCCCAGAGAGGCAAAGTGGCTCAGCAAAGGCACCCGAGTGGCTGGCGCCAGGGCTGGGACTAGCACTTCCGTCTGTCTCCTCCTAGAATCCAGGACCGCAGGAAGCACACCTGCTTCCCATCCGCATCGCCCGCGGCACCAGCACCGGGCCTGCCCAGAGGGCCCGCACACGGCACGCCGCAGGCAACAGAAGGAGCTGCCATCTGGAGAAGCAGACCTCTAAGTCACACTGCCCGGGGCCCAAATCCCAGCTCGGCCGCCTACTGGGCTGTCTAACCCGGGCAGGTCAGCTCCTCGGTCTCCCCGCTATAACGGCGCAGGGCTGGGGGGAGAACTCCGTGAGCTCACAGAGCTGCACTGGCTTCTGCGAAGAATCGCAAATGTTACCTCTTCCTCCAGCCCTCCTCTCTCGGCCAGACTCCTGCTCAGTGAGTCTCCCTGAGCCCTCGCCTTCCAGCTTAGACAACACTCAGAGGCCTCTGTGGCGCAGTGACTTGCCTGGTGGAGACAAAGTCACAGCTACATGGGCGGGCCAGAATTGCCTGTGGAGTCCAGGGACACCAGTCTGCCGAGGGGAACCCAGCTTCAAGCTGCAGCTCCTGAGCTCCTGGCTAGCAGGCCCTCATCTCCGCCCTCACATCTGGTCCACGGGGCCAGCAGGCCTCCACCAAATGGCCTGGCTGTCCCCTGGGCCATCAGGTTCTGCTTGGACTGACTGTTGGAAACCCAACCTAAGTCACATCTGAGGTCACAGCTACCCCAAGAACCAGGGACTCCTCTCCTCGCCCCAGGTCATGGTTCACCAGGTCAGGCACTGGAGGGAATATGCAGGGCTCCAGAATCAATCACAGATCACTGGGCGGAGGAGAGCCCAGCAGCCTGGGACACCCCACCACCAAGAAGCCTCCAAGGGTTCTAATCCGCGGGTGACCAGACATGCCAGCATTTCTACACAAGCCCAACCTGTCACAGACCAGATAATCAATCTCTTCTGCCCTGGAGAGACCAAAGCCCAGAAAATCCTCTGATCGTGCCTCAAAGTTCCAGAAAAATCCTAGTTATAATTTGCACCTCTCACATCTAGATTGGATTTTTAAAAATTTTTTAATGTTTATTTTCAAGAGAGAGAGAGAAAGAGTGCGAGCAGGGGAGGAACAGAGAGAGAGGGAGGCACAGAATCCGAAGCAGGTCCAGGCTCTGAGCTGTCAGCACAGAGCCCGACGTGGGGGGTTGAAGCCACAAACGTGAATTAATGACATGAGCTAAAGTAGGACGTCTAACCGACTGAGCCCCAAGACTGGAGATTTTAAAGTCAGATAAATACAGGTAAGAACTAGAGAGAAGAGGGGGCGCCTGGGTGGCTTAGTCGGTTAAGCGTCCGACTTTCGCTCAGGTCATGATCTCGGGGTTCGTGGGTTCGAGCCCCACGTCGGGCTCTGTGCTGACTGCCAGCTCGGAGCCTGGAGCCCGTTTCAGAGTCTGTGTCTCCCTCTCTCTCTGACCCTCCCCTACTCATGCTGTCTCTCTCTCTCTCCTAGAAATAAATAAAACATTAAAAAAAAAAAAAAGAACTAGAGAGAAGAGGATCACAGGTTTGGTTGGAGGATTCTCTCGCACAACCTGCCAGGTTGCAGATGAGCAAACATAGTCCCTGAGGGGGGCGTGCGTGCGGAGAGAGACAGGCCTAGAGCCCCGACGCCCCACCTGAGCCCGGGGATAGATACCACAGCGCACAGCTCCCACTGTCCTCGTGAATGGGCCCCCGCGGCTGTGCAACCCAGGGCCCTTGAGTCTCTGTCCAGGAAGCTCTGTTACACAAATGGTGTGGCTGGGCGCCCCCCACTTCCCCACCCCCCGCCCTCTCCTTTGTGCCTCAGCGGAGCTCTGCTCTCTGAAGCTGGAGAAGCACTGGAGCCAGGGGAACAGACGCAAACGTCAAAAACCAGGGCTACCAGCCTGCAGTCCGGGTTACCTTTGGGCATAATCTGGTGCATGGCGACCGAGAGGAAGAAGATGGAGTCGCTGTAGTAGGTCCCTGAGCCGGCACTGAAGTGCTTCTGCATGGCCTCCACCACCGGGAAGAGCTTGTCCGTCAGCACGCCGACATCGTGGAAGACGACCTGGGGCAGGACACGAGGAAACCACAGGGGTGAGCAAGCCGGCTGCAGACCCCCGGCACCCGCAGCTTCCCCTCCAGGGGCCACGAGCAGGGCGTCCCAAGTGAGAGTTAGGAAAATGGGGAACGACGGCGAGTCAGCAAAGACCTGGCTGTGAGGACGGGGACCCCATGCGTCGGAGCTGTGCAGGCATGCATGTTGGGAGGCAAGCAGCAGAGGAGTGGGAGCAGTCCCCGGTCTGCTTTCTGCTTCTGAACTCCAAGCGGGGCCACCCTGAAACTGGAAACCATGTTAAAATGTCCGCCCCTGAGATCCGGGGCCCTCAGCGCTGTCTGGGCATCTGGCGCCGGCATCGCCGCTCCTGGTGGCCGCTATATGTGTCAGATACTCTACCTTCCCCATCCAACGGTGTGAATAGGGAGAGGGCCCCTGGCAAATGGCTCCAGAAAATGCCTAGTGCTGCAGCAGATTCATCCATAAACACAAGCAGCATTTCCTGAGGGTCCCCGATGCTTTGGAGGCACAGGCACCGCTTTCTATAAAATGCTTAGGGTCTAGAAAGGTCACCAGCTCCTGAACAAAGCTCTGCAATTTATGAAATACTTTCACACACACCAACACTTGTGACGACCCAAGACTTCTGCGAGGCAGATGTCACTATTATAGCTCTATTATAATTGCAAATTATTGTAATTACAAATGAGAAAGAAATGGCTCGGAGAGGGGACACTTGCCCAAGGTCACATAGCTACTAAGTGGCAGGGCAAAACGTGAACCCTGGTCTCCAGATTCCAAGTTTCACGATCTTTCCACTACAAGTGCATCCGTTTTCCCAACGGTGACTGCATCAGCGTGACCAGGACCCTAAGGAGTTGGTTTTTCCTTGTTTGACATCATTCCAGATTATAAATCCATCCCATGTGTAGCCCAGGCTCACACAAGCTACCAAATGACCATACACTCTGCTCGCAGAGGCCTTGCATAGTCTCCGTGTGCTCCCCAACATATAGAGGACCCCACTGCACACGAGTGGCACTCAACGCGGCCCAGAAGCCTGGGTGTCCCCCCTCCTCTCTCCTCAGCCCTCACGAGAGATCCGCCGATGGCCCCTCTGCCTCCCTCTTCCTTGGTAGCTGACACTCAGCCACCACCCGCCCAGCCTGCACCTCCACAGCCTTCAGGTGCCATATGGTTAGAATAACCACCTCCCATGGCCCTGCGGCGACCGGCAAACCACCCGTCCCGTTCTCCCTACTTTGGGGTCCGTGTTGGGCCAGAAACCTAGTTCTGTCTTAACTCACTTAAGTGTTTGCTTTTGTCTATAAGTCGACCTAAATTTCAGAAACACGACTAAATTCAGAAAAACGTTCATACTGTGTTAGCTTCATCGTTCTTGTATCTCTTTGTAAGTCTTTTTAAAATGTATTTCACATTTCTCCCCTAGTGAACGATCTTCCTCTGTCCTTTTCCTGACTCCTTTTTCTTTTTCATGACTTCTCAACCTGAGACGGAGAATCCTGACCCGTTCTGCTGTTCCCCAGCACAGATGCCAAATTACGCCTTTTACCTCGTACACCCTCACCCCTGCGCTCCCCGCACCCCACCGTGACTTCCGGGCTGTCACACGCCGTAGGTTTCCCCACCCCCTGCCTTGTCTTCTCCAGACCAGCCTCTACCGTGTCTCTTGAGCAACTTTCCAAATCCCCAAACTCACTTCCTCTCTCCTTGGCTTCAAGTCCTCCAGGGGCTCACTGCCATCAGTTACTGTCTAACTCCCCAGCAAGGCATCAGACACCCTGCACTGGCAATTCGGGGTGCCCCTGACACCCTCTCTCTTCTGGCGACTGGGCAGAACTGAAGCAGGCCGTCCCCGCCCTGTCCTACGTCCTCGTATACCTGCACCTGCTCTTCACATCATCGGGAGCTCCTCCGGGCCCCCACGCGTCTGGTAAACCCTTAGCCAGTCTCCCAGCCTTGCTCAGACACCAGCTCCGGCCTTGGCACAGCCTCCCAGGATTCATCGTGTCTGCACCCTCTGTCGCACAGAGGGAGGCTCTGCTTCCCTATCTGAGCCTCCTCAGGTCTCCGTTTCTGTGTCTGGTAGACAGAGGCCAGAGGCTATGGCTGCTCTGTGTCCTGTGCCCAGCCCCTGGCCACAGGACAGGCCATCACAGACGTGTGTCGAACCAAATGAATTTACTAACTTAGTACTGAAGGCACTAAGCCAATCCGAAATGATACGGAATATGTTTACCGGAGTATCTGTTGTACAGAAATGCTAACACCTACCTCCTAGGGTGGCCTTAGGACTGCCTGGGACAGGTAGATAAAGCCCTAGTGCAGGGGCTGTCGCACTGCACTTATTCCTATGTATTAGCTTCTGCCCCCTGTCCCCGTCCTCGGTCCCCCGATTCCCCTTCTCCTCGCAGATCAGTCTTAACTCAGAAGCCAGCTTTTCCCTTGGAGCCTCATTACACCTCCAAACCGTGGCTGGAAACAGGCATTTGACAAGAAGCTAGAAGCTGACAAGAGCGCTCTCTCGGAAATGGAAGCCTCTGTATTCATTAAAAAGGAAGACAGAGAACGGATATGTGCAACCGAACACACACACGCACACAGAGGCGCAGAGCAGAGCCTGCCGGAGCCCGGCTGGGAGACACCGGTTTCGGCAGCCAGCTTCTCCCCCTACACGGGCCCCGCACCCCCACCCCCACCCCAAAGCTTCACGGGAGACCATTACCTCCTATCAGCATTAATGGACTTATGAGGACAAACCGTACTCTGCACACTGTTCCCAGCGCTGCAGGGTGAAGCGCCCACTCCAATGAATATTTCATATAATAAATCTACTTGAAGACAAATGAATATGCTCCATGGACACGTAGCGAGAAGCAGACCACGGCCGCTGCAAGTGTGAATCAAAACACCCACGCCTACCAGGGTCTAAAACCAGTTTGCAAACTGTGATCTTCCGGGGGCAGGGGCAGGGTCTGGCCCACTCTGAAGCCCCCAGTCCAGCCCCGGGTCTGGTGCCCCCGTGAGGCAAGAGTGACGAAGGCGAACCGAGGGAGAGCCACATAGAAAATGTCACTCCTGGGGCGCCTGGGTGGCTTAGTCGGTTAAGCGTCTGACTTTCGCTTAGGTCACGATCTCGCGGTTCGTGGGTTCGAGCCCCGCGTCGGGCTCTGTGCTGACTGCCAGCTCAGAGCCTGGAGCCTGTTTCAGTCTGTGATTCCCTCTCTCTCTGACCCTCCCCTGCTCACGCTGTCTCTCTCTCTCTCCCCTAGAAATAAATAAAAACATTAAAAAAAAAAGAAAAAGAAAATGTCACTCCTCCTACCCTTCCCTCCCCCTTTCCAATCCCCAACCTCAGGGGCTGCGGGAAGAATCACCGTACAACCCAGAGAACCAGGAGGAATATAAAAATGACTCCCATATTGAAGGCAACTGGCTGATGAGAAGATCTAAAACAATGGTTTGCACAAGCTTGACTATACAGTTTGGGGGGATTTAGATTAAAAAGTCAATCACTATTTCTAACTTTTATTGATTGATATATATATTAATACATATCAGTCAATAAAAGTATATATATATATCAATCAATAAAAGTGTATATATATATAATTAAAATTAAAATCTCATTACTCATTAAATACTGTTTTTCCCACACCCAACTTATCAAATGATTCCTGTGAGCTTTTCATGGGCATCCCCAACATTAGGGCCTTTTATCAACCTGAGTCAAATCATCCAGAGCCATTTTCTAGAACACACCATCCTTGTCATCCATTTAAGATGTTGGATACAGCTCCTTGTGATTTTACGTAGGGCGGGATCATCGGAAATGGTATCCCAACCCCACAAGGACCCATGTTCATATCACTAAGGCAGCTGGGTTTTTTTTTTATCAGCCTATAATTATAGATCTGTAGCCACTTACTATCTTCCTTTTATTAGTGATCTTAAAGGCTCACATATCAATATTCTACACTTGTAATTATGCAATCAAAACCCCAGGAATACTGACTAAATCTGTGTTAAATGTATTTGCCTCCTCTTATTTCTAATTAATTCTGTCAAGTGACTTCTAGAAGCACTTAAAATCAGTAATGACTGAGGTTGTTTCAGGCTAAGGTGTTCTCAAGCTGTACTTTATTGTTCAAATAAAGCATGTTATTGAGAGAGCACCGTGTAATACAAGAGGCTCTGGAAAGACTCAACTCTTCTGAAAAGGGCAATCTGGGGACGCGGGGAAGGGGGGAGGTACCAACCGTGCACAACATGTTCTCGACGCTTCCAACAGGAGGAGACCAAAGCAACCAGGATGGCAGAGTCTGGCGCCAGGCAGAGGTGGACGTCTCTGCCAGCCTGGCCCTGGGCTTGCGGGCACAGACAGGCCTGAAGTGCCAGGGCACTGCTCCCGACCCGTGCACGGAGGACTTAAGGCAATGCGCCTCAGCGCAACGTGGTGGAGAAAACTCATTTACCACTTGGCGTGCCCTCCTGGGAGTCACGTCACACCACGACCTTGGAGCCAAGAAACGGGGTGACAGAGGCTGGCTCTGCACAGGGACACAGCTGGGCTTCCAGGAAACACCAAGGCCCAGCTCCTCCAGCCGCGGACACAGTGCCACAGGATGGCGACATCGCGTCCCCGTGCTCAGCCAGAAGCGGTCCCCAGAGAGATGCTAGAGGGAAGAATGGCAGCACAAAGCTCTGGGAAACCACCCAAATCTAACATTGCTGGCACACCTGGCACAGGCCGGAATCTCTGTCCCGCAGGAAAAGCAAATGGCCGTCCACTTGCCCCGAGGGGCTGCCCAGAGCACAGGGTAGGAAAGCTTCTGCACCTACGTCTGGACCCATGGCACCAGCAGCGCCAGTGTCCACCAGCGGGGGGGGGGGGGGGGGGGCAGACTCACCCCTCAAGAGCCACACCCCGGTGCTACGGGGGCCCAGTTTCAGCCCCTCCCTGATGTGACTTTCATCACTTCGGCAAG